CTCCCTGTACTACCTAGCAGTTGGAGGTGTGGTTGTCAGAAAATTCCTTGACAGCTCCTGTTTTACTCCATGGTGCCAGTTCTCTTGGGCTTTGTCATGAGTTGGAATAGAATAAAGACTCTTTGATATCTGCAGTGCTGGGGGTTCTTGAAACCCTAGGCTTATGAATATTAGAACCAAGTCAGGAACCTAGCTGCTTGCCTCAGCTGCCACAGTCTCTGATTCAATTGCAAGGTTATAGAGGTTGCAGATAAAAAGGAAAATCAGGAAGCAAATAGGCATTGGGCTTGGGAAAATTTTATGGAGCATCTTGAAATTTTGGTATATTAACATTGTTGTTACATGTCTTCAAATCTCATATTTACCTTAAGTGTTACCTTAGAATTTTAGAGTTGGAAGGCACCTTAGAGACTGTTTGGACCAGGGATTGGCAAACTTTTTCTAGGACCAGACAGTAAAATTTTAAGCTTTGTGGGACACATGGTCTCTGTCACAACTCTTCAACTCAGCTGTTGTTGTGGGAAAGCAGCTGATGATGATGCATAAACAAATGGGTAATAAACAAATGGGATTGCTGTATTCCAATACAACTTAATTTGTACAAGGAGGCAGCAGGCCAGGATTTGAAGTGTGGGCTATAATATACCCATTATGATTTATGCTAGTACCCCCCATTTTGTACTTGAAGAAACATACCCAGAGAGTTTAGGTGACTCATGTCAAGTCTCAAACTAGTGACCAAGATGCAACTCTGATCTAGGCTTCTTGGCTCCTAGTAACTTTTTCACTGTTTCCTTCTATGAGTGTTCACCGAGTGCTAGTAAAGCACCTTATTAAACATGTGAAGTCTCATTTAATCCTCACTGTAATTCTCTAAGGTAGGTGGTATTATACCCCTTTTGAGGATGAAGAAACAGGGTTAAAGAGGTAAAATAACTTGCCAGAAATCATGCGGTCAGTGTGTATGACAAAGCAATTCATTCTTGCATTGCTATAAATAAATATCTGAGTCTGGGTAATTTACAAGACAAGAGGTTTAATTGGTTCACAGTCCTGCAGGCTGTAGAGGAAGCATGGCAGCATCTGCTTTTAGGGAGGCCTCAGGGAACTCATGGGGAAAGCAAAGAGTGAGCAGGTGTGTCATACGGCAAAAGAAAGATCAAGAAGGAGAGATGGAGGTGTGGCACACTTTTAAACAGCCAGATCTCATGATAAGTCACTATCTTGAGGACAGCACCAAGGGAAGGATGCTAAACCATTCGTGAGAAAAAATCCACTCCCATGATCCAGTCACCTCCCATCAGGCCCCACCTCCAATATCGGAGATTACAATTCAACTTGAGATTTGGGAGGGGACAAATATATAAACTGTGTCAAAGTAGTGGAGCAAAGATTAACTTTGGCCTTTCTGCCTCTCAAATTCTATTATAGTATGATACCTCTTTCAATCTTGATTTTACTGTATTGTAAACATATATTTCCTTTTAGTTTTCTTCTTGCCATGTTTATTTTTATCTCTTTATCTTTTTCAAGAAATTCTCAGTTTCTTACTGTTACATGATAAATGTCTAACATGTGGCACACACCATATAAATATTAGTTTCTTTCCTCATCCAGTAGTTCAGGCTGCCATTCAGCTTGGTTTCTTTTATACTAAAATTTCTCTTTTTTTAAATGAACTTTTTATTTTGGAGTAATTTGAGATTTACAGAAAGTTGCAAAGATAGTTCAGAGAGTTCTATACACCCTCACCCAGTTTTAGTTACCCTTATATATCCCACTGTGGGACATTTATGAAAACTAAAACGTCTTCATTGGCACATTACTATTAACTAAACTCCAGACTTCACTTGAATTTCACCAGATTTTCCATTATTGTTCTTTTTCTGTTCCAGGATCCAGTCGAGAATACCACATTGCATTTAGTTGTCATGTCTCCTTAGTGTACTCTAATCTGTGGCAGTTTCTTTGTCTTTTATGATGTTGACAGGTGGTTTTTTTTTTTTTTGAGACGGTCTCCCAAGATGGAGTGTAATGCCACAATCTTGGCTCAGTACAACCTCAGTCTCCCAGGTTCAAGTGATTCTCCTCCCTCAGCCTCCTGAGTAGCCGGGACAGGCACACACCACCACAACCGGGTTATTTTTGTATTTTTAGTAGAGACAGGGTTTCATCATGTTGGCCAGGCTGGTCTTGAACTCTTGACCTCAAGTGATCTGCCCATCTTGGCCTCCCAAAGTGCTGAGATTATAGGCGTGAGCCACCGCGCCCAGCCCCTTGACAGTTTTGAGAAAATACTTGTCAGGTGTTTTGTGTTAGATTAGTGCAAAAGTAATTGTGGTTCCTCAAATTGGCTTTGTCTTGATATTTTACTGATGATTAGACTGAAGCTGGAGTTATTTTTTTTTTTAGAAAGATTACTACAGAAGTGAAGTGCCCCTCTCATCACTTTATATCCAGGGGTACATGATGTCACTAATGGTTTTAACTAGCATACAGAAATGGGCACAAATTATAAATGCACAACTCATTGAATTATCACAAGATAAACATGCCCATTATAACACCCTCCAGATCAAGAAGTAGCCCTCCTCATATTTCTTCCCTCTTTCACAGAGGCAACCACTATTCTGATTGTTAATGCTATTGAGTAGTTTTCTTTTTTGAACTTTATGTAAGTCGCATGATTAAGTATTTTGTATGAATTATTTCTATTTTGTTTGTGAGATTCAGTCTTTTTGAGTATAACAGTTTATTTATTTTGGCTGCGGTATAGTACTTCATTATCTGAGTAGACTGTTCCTTCTACTGTTAATGGATATTTGGTTTAATTCTATTTCTGGCTATTACAAATAATGCTGTAAATTTTTATATACATTGTTGATGTATATATGAGTATATTTCTGCTGGGTAAATATCTGGCATTGGATTTGCCGGGTTATAGAGTTGCTTCTATTAAACTTCAAAAGATGGTGTTTATTTTTGAAAGTAGTTCTACCAGTTTACATTCTTACAGTAAACAGTAGTTTAATGTTGTCAATCTCTTTATTTTAGCCTTTGTGGCGGGTGTGTAGTGGTGGTTTTAATTCACATTTCCCTAAGGATGTAGAATAATGACAGTTGTATTTCTAGATTTCCAAGCCTCACATATCATGTATTTCTTTTTCTTGCCTTATTGCACTGTCAAGGGCCTTCAGTACAGTGTTGGATAGGAGTGATGATGGGATAGTGGGCATCCTTATCTTTCTGTTTGCAGAGGGCGTAGGACTGTTGGATCCCACAGGGTAGTGGGGTGTCCCTTATGCTGTGCTGAGGTGCAGGATCCGAGAAGTAAAGAGACAGGACACTGAAGAACTGGTGAAGAGCATCTGGACTCAGGGGGCCACGCCACCTGTGAGCGGCGATCAGCAAGAGCCCCCAGTGCCCAGGAGCATCTGTATTTATTAGGTACAAGCAGGGGGCAGGATGGTGAGTGAGGTCATCATCTATAGGCTTTGTAATAGGGCATACATAATCACATGAGTCACAAGTGAGAGGGCCACCCCATTACGTCACTTGGACAGAGAGGTGGACCATGTGCAGTAGGGGGCCGTGCCATGCGCAGTATTAGAGGGTCGTGTACAGCAAAGGTGTCCACCCCCATTAGGTCACCGAGGCAAGGAGGTGGGCTGTGTGCAACAGGTGTTGTGCACAACACTGCTTATCTGGGGGCTGGAGACTTCAAAGGATTTCTAACAGAAGGATACTGTAAGCTAATGCAGTGGGAGCTGACAGACTTGTGCTCCTCTCTTAAGATATTTATGGGAGGATAATTTGAGCTAGCACAGAGGGGAGAAAAGACTGACAAGGTGTACACCCGCTGTGACTGGTCACACCAGAGGAGTTCTTCTCCCTTGGTTATTTCCAGGATCTCAGGCCTGAGGCCTGCTTTCCACAGGAACTAGATGCAAGGTACTACAACTTCTTTATCAGGAGAAGAGGCTCTTGCTCCAAGCCTGCCATACAGTGTATGCCCTTTCAGGCAGGGACACCACCGCCTGGGTCTTTGGTTCTTGTCCTGGTCTGGCTGTTTTCCCATGTACTGCTTCTGTTCTGTGACTGCTCTAGGCATTCCTCCTAATACATACTACTACTATATGGTTATATACAAGGATTCTGTAAATCAGCACTAAATGTGTCAGTACAGCTCCAACTACAATACCTATATGATTATATGGAAAGATTATATAGAACTATGTTAGATGTAAGTATTAACTATGACTATATAAGCTAGATATATGTAAGCAGTAAGTTATACTTCAGACACTAATTCTATAAACTAATATATGATTATATATAAAGGATTATATAAAGGAAATAGCTGAGTAATAACACTATAAACTAAGATATTCTTCAGGCACTAATTGTGCCTGGGGTCTGGACAGTTCTCCTTCCTCGGTGCCCATGGGGGTGTTACCCACAGAGGGAAAGCGTTCAGCATTTCACCTTTAAGTAAGACATTTGCTATAGGTTTTCTTGTAGATATTCTTTATCAGGTTGAAGATAGTCCCTCTGATCCTAGTTTGGGAAGAGGATTTTGGTTTTTGTATTTTAAATGGATAATTGAATTTCTATCAAATGCCTTGTCTGTCTTATGATTCTCATGATTTTTCTCCTTATTCTGTTAATGCAGTGAAATGCATTAATTGCTTTTCTGAATGCTAAACCAACTCTGTATTCCTGGAATAAACCTACTTTGGTTGTAATATATTATCTTTTTTATATGTACTAGATATGATTTGCTAGTATTTTATTGGGATTTTTACATCTATGTTCATGAGAGTTTGGCCTGTAATTTTTCCTTTCTTGCAATGTTCTTGTCAGGTATTGGTATCAAGATGATGCTGGCCTTGTAAAACGAGTCGGGAAGTGTTGCGTCTTTTTCTGTTCCCTGGAAGAGTTTATGTAAGCTTGGTCTTATTTTTTGCTTAAATGATTAGTAGAATACACCAGTGAAGCCATTCAGTTCTGGAGTTTTCATTGTAGGAAAGTTTTAAATTATGGATTCAATTTCTTTATTAGATACAGGACTATTTTGATTTTCTATTTATTCTTATGTCAATTTTGATAAGTTATTTTCTAGGAAATTGTCCACTTCATCTATTTTCAAATCTATCGACATAAAGCTTTTCACAATATCCTCTTATCTTTTTAATGCTTGTTGGATCTGTGGTGATATCACCTTTTCCATTTCTGATATTAATTATTTATACTTTTGCTGTTTTTCTTCATCAGTCTTGCTAGATGGGGTGAATTAATTTTATGAATCTTATCAAAGAACCGGCTTTTGCCTTTGTCAATCCTTTACTGTATGTTTGTTTTTTATTTCATTAATTTCTTTGATGTCTTCTCTTTGAATTTACTGTGATTTTTTTTTTTCCTGACTTGAGATCATTACTTAGATCATAGATTCTCAGGCTTTCTTATTTTTTCAAATGAATTTAAAGCTCTAAATTTTCCACTAAGCACATTAGTTTGTCCCGTAAGTTTTAATACATTGCATTTTCATTGCTATGCAGTTCAAATTATTTTCTGATTTCTTTGATTTCTTCTTTAACCTGTGAATGATATAGAAGTGTATTATTTAATTTCTAAAAATTTGGGACTTTTAAAGTAATCTTTTAAATATAATTTATATTTTAATTCCACTGTGATCATAGGAGATACTTTATGTGAGTTCAGTCATTGAAAATTTGTTAGGACTTATTCTGTGGTCTAGTATATGACCTATTTTGGTAAATGTTTTGTGTATACTTAAAAAGAATTTATTTTCTGCAGTTATGGAGTTCAGTACTGTATATATAATTAGGTAAAATTTGTTAATCTTGTTGGAATCTTTTACGCTCTTACTGTATTATTTGGTCTAACTGTTCTATTAGTTATTGAGAGAGTTATAATAAAAATCTGCTGCTGTGGTTGGCAGAATTCTGAGATAGCCCCAAAATTCCCAGGCACTGGTACATGCCTGGTATAATGATCTCTCCTTGCGTGTAGGTGGTACTGTGAAAATAACTGATTTTCTTCCCATTATTAGGTCATATTATATGAAGAGATTTTGCATATGTAATTAAGGTCTCAAATTAGTTGAATTTGAGTTAATTATTAATCAAAAAGCACATTATCCTGACTGGGCCTCAATGAGATGAGTCCTTAAAAGGACTGGGCCCTTCCAGAAGTCAGAGAGATTCAATGTGCATCTCCTATTGACTTTGAATAAGCAAGCTGGCATATTATGAAGAGGGCCACATGGTAAAGAATGCTGGGTGGCCTCCAGGAGCTGAGGGCCTCAGTTCTAAGGAATCAATTCTGCCAACAGCCAGTAAGCTTGGAAGAGGATCCTAAGCATATTATACATAAGATGAGATAGCAGCCCCAGTTGATGCCATGATTTCAGCCTTGTGGGGCCTGAGCAGAGGATCCAGTTGAGTCGTGTCTAGACTTCTGACCTACGAAACTGTGAAATGATAAGTGCTTTAAGCTGCTAATATTACAGCAGGAGAAAACTACAGCCACTGTAATTGTAGAGATACCTTTTCCCTGTTTTAGTGTTCATTTAAAAATATTTTTTAAAGCTCTTATTAGGTACATAAAATTATAATTATAACATCTGTGTAGTGAATTTAACCTTTTTGTTGTTACGAAAAGCCCTCCATTAGCTCTAATAAAGTCGTTTGCCTTAAAGTCTTATTCATGTGATTTTAGTAGAGCTACTCTAGCTTTGTTTTCTGTATTTACTTTAAGATATGTCTCTTGTATATAGTTTTTTGTTTTTTATTTTTTATTTTTATTTTTAGTATTTTATTTATTTATTTATTTTTTGAGACAGAGTCTCACTCCGTCACCAGGCACCAGGCTGGAGTGCAGTGGCGCAACCTCGGCTCACTGCAACCTCCGCCTCCCGGGTTCAAGCAATTCTCCTATCTCAGCCTCCCTAATAGCTGGGACTACAGGTGTGCGCCACCACACCTAGCTAATTTTTTTGTATTTTTAGTAGAGACAGGGTTTCACCGTGTTGGCCAGGATGGTCTCGATCTCTTCATCTCGTTGTCCACCCGCCTCGGCCTCCCAAAGTGCTGGGATTACAGGCGTGAGCCACCGCGCCCGGCCTAGTTTTTTTGTTTTTATCTGGTCTGTCAGTTTGTCTTTTCATTTGATTATTTAGTCTATTCATATTTAATAGATTTACTAATGTGTTTGAGTTTAAATATACCATGTTTCTGTTTGCTTTTCTATTTGTTCCCACCTGTTCCTGTTCCTTTTTTGCAAATCTTCTTATGTTTTATTCCATTCCTTCCTCCTTTCTTTTTTTAGTGATTATCTTAGAGATTACAATATTGCATCTTTGACTTATTAAAGTCTAATATAAATTAATATTTTTACCACTTCCTGGACAATGAAAGAACTTTAGAATGCTTTAACTCCAATCACCTCCCTCCTGCCTTTTGATTTATAGTTTTTGTGATTTTGATTTTTAACATATTTAATTTCTGTGAAACATTCTTATTTTACATATTCAATATTCTTTTAGACTTACCCTCATATTTACCTTTTCTGGTTGCCCTTTATTCCTTCCTGTGTCTTCATGCTTCCACCTGGGATCACTTTCCTTCCACCTGAAGAATTCCTTTTGATATTTCTTTTAACTGACTGCTGCTGCTGAATTTTTCTTTCATTTATCTAAAAATGTATTTATTTCATCTTCATTGTTGAGGATATATTCACTGGATATAGGGTTCTTGTCAGCAGTGATTTTTCTTCACCGCTTTGAAGATATCATTCTTCTGACTTCTATTGTTTCTTTTCTTTTTAAAGACAAGGTCTTACTTTGTTGCCCAGGCTGGAGTACAGTGGCACAATCATAGCCCATTGCAGACTCCAACTCCTGGGCTCAGGCAATCATCCCAGCCCAGCCTTTCGAGTAGCTGGGACTACAGGTATGACAACATGCCTGGCTAATTTTAAAATTTTTTTTATAGAGATGGGGTCTTGCTGTGTTGCCCAGGCTGGTCTCGAATTCCTGGCCTCAAGCCACTCTCCCACCTTAGCCTCCCAAAGCGCTAGGATTACGTGCATGAGCCACTGAGTCCAGCTAACTTCTATTGTTTCTGTAGAGAATTTAGCTGTCAATCTTATTGCTTTTCTTTTGAAGGTAATTATATACCCACCGTGCCCCCAGGCTGCTTTTAAAATTTCTCTTTGTGTTTGATTTTAGCAGTTTTCCAAGATGTATCTAGATAATGATTTCCTTTATAATTTTTCTCCATAGGGTTTATGCTGCTTCTTGAATCATGGTTTGACATTTTCATCAAATTTGGAAAATTGTCTGCTGTTATCTCCAAATACTGCTTCTGCCTCATTCTGCTTTTCCTCTCCTTCTGGGATTCCAGTACACCTATCTTAGACCTTTCCGCCATGTCCTTCCATTTGTGTCTTAGGCTCTTTTTATGTTTTTCCACCCCTTTCTTTCTACTGACCTGGCTTCTAGTTTATAATTTCTTCTTTAGCTTTAAAACTATGATTTGCTGTTAAACGCTTGCAGTGTATTCTTACTTTAGTTTTTACATTTTTCAGCTCTAAGATTTCTATTTGATTCATTTTTATAGTTTCTAGTTCTCTGCTGAAATTCTCCATCTTGTCATTTAATTCACTGAATGTATCAATTGTGATTATTTATAAGTCCATGTTTATTAACTCCAATAATGATGTATTATGGATTTGGTTCTATTATTTTCTATTTTTTCTCTTTCTTTAGTCAGATCTTATCTTTGTATAGGCCTAGTTGTTTTTAATTCATTGCTAGACATAATTCGTATTTTGGAGTAATGTTATTTTCGTCTAAAGATTACTTTTGCTTTTGGCTAGCAGCTAGTCAATGGACAGATCACTGTAATGTAATCAGGGATTTATATGATTGAAAGCTGGGCTTTAGTCTTTGTGAGGACTAGTCTTATTTTCAATTCATTCTTTTTCCTAGGATGTGGTCAGTCAGGATCCTAGCCCAAAAACCTTGGGTTTTACCAGGTCCCTCTCTCCTTTGTGGACGCGGAACTCTGTTTTGCCCTCTAACCCTGTGGTACTGCCTAAAGCTTTGCTCAGCTGCTTGGCCACTCAATCTCATATTTGCTTTCTGAATTGACAATTGTCTAAAGACAAGGTGGTTTCTGATGCCTGGCTTACCTCTCAGTCTCCCTGTTTTTCTGGACCCTCTCCCCTGCTTTTGTGATTCTTTGAAAATTGTCAAGCCAATTTTTTTGTTGTCACCATTCAGCTAGAGGTTTGATCCAACAACTGGTGGGCTGCTGCTGAATGTCGATCTCTTCTCTTGGAATTTGTCATTGTTTCCCACTTCTCAAAGCTAGAATATATGGCAAGTTTACAAACATGAAAAATAGAATTCAAGTTAATTACCTCTGCACACATGAGCCCATACCTTATATTCTATATTTCCCATTGAGAGTCAATGTTAAAACTCTTGAGTAACATCAGTTTAGACAACTTCCAGGGGTGTTGTTGTTGTTGTTGTTGTTGTTTTAAAAAAAAGCAGTATGAACATTTTAGATTCAAGAAATTTAGAGGTTTGCATTATAATGTGAAAACATTATTGTGGATCTCATTGGTGCGCACTTTCCATGTTTTACTAAGTGCCAGTGTTTTCCCTGTTGGGAGGGAACTAAGAAATTTGCTTGCTGAGTGCTTCAAATGAGTTTCAATTCATTTCCCTCAATTTCAGCTGTATATTTTGGACAGAATTCACTCACTCTAAGATTGTCTCATTAGTTAGCAAATAAATTGCATTTCTTCTTAGATTTAAGGCTACTTCTTCACAATTCACTGTTTTTTGGTGCCTTTACAGAGGGTGCTCGAGAGGAAGACCTTGATGCTGTGGAAGCGCAGATTGGCTGCAAGCTTCCTGATGATTATCGATGTTCATACAGAATCCACAATGGACAGAAATTAGTGGTTCCTGGGTAAGATATTCAGTGTTACAGCTATTTTTAATGAAGCAAGCTATTTTTTAGAATGAAAGTAAATAAATTGTATTTGTAGTTACTTTTAACAAATTAAAGAAGCATGGGAATTCCCTTTCTCCTTTATAGCAATCCACAAGACAAAATCTATAGCTTGAATTAGATTTTACCAAAATAAATATATCTCATAAAAACATAATTTCTACCAACGCATCTGTATAGTTAACATGAAGTCTGGTATGGGATGGGGAATGGGACATACAGTAAAAGTGAGTGCGAGTATTTTTTAACTAAATTCTTCAGAACTCTTGAAATGTGTATCTGGTTACTGGCTAGTCAAATTATTTTGGGAGCTTGATGCAAATTCTACCTACTATACATAAAAGCAATCATTTATTCAGAGCTGCATACACTACACTAAAGAAAATCATGTTTTGTCATATTAAACGCAGTCTATAATTGAATGGCCTGTTTAAAATTTAATTCTAAAAAATGAAGTATTTATTGTAGAACTTTTTTTGTTTTTTTCTTGAGACGGGGCCTTACTCTGTCCTAGCCTGGAGAGTAGTGGTGTGATCTCAGCTCAGTGCAGCCTTGACCACCCCCACCATGCCCAAGCGATCCTGCCACTTCAGCTGTCCCAGTAGGTAGAAGTACAGGTGCACCACCATGCCCAGCTACTTTTTTGTATTTTTTGTAGAGATGAGTCTTGCCATGTTGCCCAGGCTGGTCTTGAATTCTTGGACTCAAGCGATTCCTACCTCAGCCTCCTAAAGTGCAGGGATTACAAGTTCAAATCACCACACCAAGTCTTTTTTTTTCTTTTTAAAGAGATGGTGTCTTGCTATGTTGCCAGTCTAGTGGTCTTTAACTCATGGGCTCATGCAATCCTTCTGCCTCTGCCTCCTAAGTAGCTGGGGCTACAGGCATATACTGTTTGGCCTGGCTCAGCTTTTTTTTTTTTTTTTTTTTCATAAACTTTTATTATTTTAAATTTTTATTTATTATTATTATTTTTAGAGATGGGGTCTTGCTATATTGCCCGGGCTGGTCGGGCTCAAGGAATTCTCCTGCCTCAGGCTTCCAGCCACCATATCCACCTTATATTGTGGAGCTTTTGGGTAAAGGTAGACCATTCAGTAGTCATCAAAATTCACCCACAGTTTTTGAAGGCATGTGCTTTGAATGGGTCTACTCCTTTTGTACTTTTATGAAAGTAAGCTGTTTCAGAGACATTGTGCTTGTGAAATGCTAATAGGAGTTTAAGGAGAACTTTGCATTGTTCTTATTGGAACCTGTTGTTCCTTTGTGTGTGAAGAGTCATGTGAGGCTCTGTTACAATTTCAGATGAGGGTTGAATGAGTTCAGGGAATCCCAGAGGTGATCATACTGAGATTACAATGTAGTATTCAGAAGTCAAATATTGGGAGCAGGGTGCAGTGGCTCACGCCTGAAACTAGCTCTTTGGGATGCCAAGGCAGGAGGACTGCTGAAGTCAGGAGTTAAAGACCAACCTGGATAGCATAGCAAGATCCTGTCTCTATAAAAAATTAAGTTAAAAACAATTAGCCGGACATGGTAGCATGCACCTATTGCTCCAGCTACTCGGGAGCTGTGGCAGGAAAATATCTTGAGCCCAAGAGTTTGAGGCTGCAGTAAGCCACTGCACTCCAGCCTGGGTAACAGAACAAGGTCCTGTCTCAAAAAAAAGTCAAATATTGGGCATGGATCAGAAACAGAAGTCAGTTAGAACTAGATAACCCTAAATTATTGGCTATTTTTTCTTTTTTGAGACAGAGTCTTGCACTGTCGTTTGGGCTGGAGTGCAGTGGTGTGATCTCAGCTCACTGCAACCTCCACCTTCTGTCCCGGATTCAAGAGATTCTCCTGCCTCAGCCTCCCAAGTAGCTGGGATTACAGGTGCCCGCCACCATGCCCAGCTAATTTTTTGTATTTTTAGTAGAGACGGGACTCCACTATGTTGGCCAGGCTGGTCTCAAACTCCTGACCTCATGATCGCCCACCTTGGCCTCCCAAAGTGCTAGGATTATAGGCTTGAGCCACCGTGCCTGGCTGTTATTGCCTATTTTTTCCTATTGAACTGAAACTTGACAAAGTTGAAAAATTGTCAGATTTTAAGAGCAAACAGGAGAGAACTTTGTAACTCTTAGAGTTATGACTCTTAGAACAGTTATGACTAATAGGTCATAAATTGCAACACAGGGATTTTTATCTATACATGACTTAAGCATTGAGACTTAGGAATCTCATCAAGGAATGCCTTGATACCTATATTGCTATATGTATATTTAATGAGATTAATCTATACACCATAGGCATCCAAGTTTGTGAAAATCTGGACAAGGTTTAAGCTGCTTTACATTTACTGTCTGGTTGCATAGGGTAAGCTAAAGGTCGTATCAAGATAAAGGCATCAGAGAATTAATTGCTTCTGTAAACATTAAATTGGCCATACATACATGGCTAGCAAAACACTGGCAAATCAATATATCACGGCAAGATAGATTCTTGAAAACAATAAAACTGTGTTTCTTTTTAAAACATTGCCATTTAGACATTTAATTAATTTTCAACTTAAATCAGAATTTTTCCAATTGAAGGAGTTTGAATTAAATATTTAGAAATTATAGTGCTTTGGGTATTCCTGATTTGGAATTGTCATGTTAATCGGTACTTATAAAGTTGTGAGTGGGAAATTATTATTCATCAGAAAGATGAAGCACAGCTTCATGTATTACATGAATTTATTACATGAAATTATTATTCATCAGAAAAATGAAGCACAGCTTCATGTATTACATGCCATGTATTACATGTTTGAGTCTGTATGCTCCTCAGGTTATTGGGAAGCATGGCGTTGTCTAATCACTATCGTTCTGAAGATTTGTTAGACGTCGATACAGCTGCCGGAGGATTCCAGCAGAGACAGGGACTGAAATACTGTCTCCCTTTAACTTTTTGCATACATACTGGTTTGAGTCAGTACATAGCAGTGGAAGCTGCAGAGGGCCGAAATAAAAATGAAGTTTTCTACCAATGTCCAGTAAGTAGAACATGTGTTTAAATATGGCATTATGATGTGTTCTGATGGTTGTATAAATGTGTGCATTAGGTATTTTTAGGATTATAGAATAGGTATAGAATATTATGCATTTTAGTTATGGACCTGTCAACTAGAGTTAATGTTCTGACATAATGGCATGGAATCCAAGAGAAAACTTGACAGTTGGACTTAAAAAACTAGTGTATCTACAGAGGGAAAGCTGCGATTTGTGTTAAGGTAGTTTAAGGAAAACTGATTAGGAGCTTTTTGTTGCAATAATTAATTGTAATATATGTTTCAGACTTTCGAAAATTTAGCCTGTGAACATCCTTTGATTCATTCTCTGAGTGCAGTAAAAACTTGAAACTTTCTTCAGGGGTATCTGACATATCAAAAAATGTAGTTCTTTTTTAGCAGACTTTTACTGTTTTAATGTAACCACAGAAAATATTATGGTATTGGTTTCATTTAATAAAAACAAAGAAATAATTTTCAGTTCTCAGTAATTTTTCAGTTACACAACCTTTGCCTTCATTTTTGCCTAGATGTGAACTTTTTACTCAAAAGAGAAATTTAAAATAGAAAATGCTTGGCTGGGTGTGGTGGCTCACGCATGTGATCACGGCACTTTGGGAGGCTGAGGCAGGTGGATCAACTGAGATCAGGAATTTGAGACCAGCCTGGCCACTATGGCGAAACCCTGTCTCACCTAAAAATAAAAATAAAATTAGCCAGGTGTGGTAGTGCATGCCTGTAGTCCCAGCTACTCGGGGAGGCTGAGGCAGGAGAATCGCTTGAACCCGGGAGGTGGATATCATAGTAAGCTGAGATCCAGCCACTGCTCTCCAGCCTGGGCGATAGAACAAGGCTCCCTCTCAAAAAAATAAAATAAAAATAAAAAATAAAAGAAAATGCTTTTCATAGTTGAGACATGTGACTCTATATAACATTTTATATATTTAAAGAGCTTTTAGACCAGGCGCCAGTGGCTCACGCCTGTAATCTCAGCACTTTGGAAGGCCGAAGCAGGCGGATCACAAGGTCAGGAGTTCAAGACCAGCCTGGCCAACATGGTGAAACCCCGTCTCTACTAAAAATACAAAAAAATTGGCTGGGTGCGGTGGCAGGCGCCTGTAATCCCAGCTACCCGGGAGGCTGAGGCAGAGAATTACTTGAACATGGGAGGCAGAGGTTACAGTGAGCCAAGATTGTGCCACTGCACTCCAGCCTCAGTGACAGAGCAAGACTCTGTCTCAAAAAAAAAAAAAAAAGAGCTTTTATAGCTTTTAATTTTTTAAAGCATTTTCATACATTTTATTTCATTTTTGACTTGATGTCTCTGTAAGGTTGTAGTATGGTAGCTTGCTCTCCACTTACTGAGAGGAGTGAGTAACCTAGAATTGTTCAGACCTCTTGACTCTGAATTCAGAACCGTTTCTTCTAGGATAACAAGCCATATATCTTCTTATCTCAACTTTATTTTTCTCTGTTTTGCCTCATCTCTAGGGAAAGATACAGATAATGAACATGAAAAATTAAGTAAAATATGTTTTTATCAATTGTATTCTTTTTCTCACCTAGGACCAAATGGCTCGAAATCCAGCTGCTATTGACATGTTTATCATAGGTAGGAAAGAAAAAAGTCTTTTTCCCCCTTCTTCCTCCTGGATATAATAAGAAAATTAAATTGGTAAAAGCTTTTTTAGTTACTTTAGCAGCTGGCAATTTCATACTTGGATTTATTTAAGGTTTGTTGGTTCATAAAGTACTGCATTTAGGTTTTCACTAGAACAGTTTTTGTTTTGAGTACTTTTAATTTGGAAAAAAATCCAATCCTTATACAGTCTCATGTTCTGAGGACTCTTCTATAAGGCAATTAAATACGTGGAATTGCTGTGAATGTTATATATTTTTCTTAACATGCACATACATTTTTCATTCATTATATTCATGTATAACTGGAGATACAGATATATAAAGCAACTTTAAACTTTTTCTCTTTTGGTGGTAATACAGTAACATTAAGATACTGTCACATTAAGTTAAGTTACATTAGAGACCTCCAAAGCAACAGTATTTAGGGACTAATATAAACTCTCTGCCTCATAAACTCCTTGGTACAACTAGTTTTTCTAGCCTTAAAAGAGTATTTCCTATAGGTTTTGAGAACTCTTCAATTTGTAAGTAACTACAGTTCACTCCTTTGCTATTCATCCAGTTTTGTCTTGTTTACATTTTGGCCACCTAGAGAAGCTTCCAGACTGCTTCCATTCTGCTTTTTAAGACCATTGCTGACATATATTAAACATCTCCGTACATTAATAGTAAAGGGTCCTTGTAGACTAAGGAGTTTGTATTTAATTCTATCTTCTCATTGGAACTTTGAACAATGTATAAGTCTCTGTTTGTTCCATACTATAGCACATTCGAGGTTCGTGATGTGCTTCACAGTATCTCACCCTTACCTAGTAAGTTATAAAAAGCTTTTAAATATAGGTCCTAGCTTTCAGCTCACTCTGACTCATGTGGTCTCTGGTTTCTAAGTTAAGCACTCTCTGGAGCTTTTTCCTATGCTCATTGCCCTCATTGGTATGTTTGCATAGCACACGCTTTCAGAGATTACCATAGTGGCTGTAGTCCAGCAGTGCTACTCAGTTTATAAATGAAAGGCAGCCGAGCGCTAAGGGAGGCTGCTGCCTAGGCTCTGTGAGTTCCTTACTCTTAGTTTGGTGCTCATCTGACATGGTGTGGTGAGTGCTAAGGTGTCATAATACTATCCTAGTAGCCCAGGTTTATCTTAGAACACCACTCCAGCAGAGTACTAAGGTGTAATAATACTATGCTAGTAGCTGGTATTTCTCTTAAAATGGGAGAGCAAAGTAAAAGATTGAGAGACACTGACAAGAGATGAGGTGGGAAATTAATGCAAGGAGGAAGGATGAAAAAGGAGCTTCCTTTCAGCTGTCTTGATAAAGCCCCAGAACTATCAGAGAGACTCCAACACATGGGCTTACTTTAAAAGGTAAATTACCTTAGAACATAGAAATTGCATCTTGATTCAGCTAATTTTGGATTTCTTAGGATGTTTGGTAACACATAAAATGGCATATCCTGGTGTTCAGTGTGCTATTAATAGATATTTAAAAAAACTGGAGTCTGTCAGATAAGTTTAGTAGTGAATACAGCCTAGTCTATCCTCATCTTGAAGAACACACTCTGGTATGTATTGTAATAAATTAAGGTAGATTAAAATACACAAGGCCAATTTTTTTTTTACGTAAACCACAAATTTGTTTTTACTTATATAACATTTTTTCCACAAAGTATATATATGTATGATTTTTAAAAAACTCTTTCAGAGAAATTACTAGTGCTAAAAACATAAAACTATACCTTCCATGAATTTTAATGATATTATTCATATAGCTTCTTATTATCTTACTCAAAGTGGGTACATGATCAGTGATCCTTGAATACATAGTGTTTAATAAATAATGGGTCAGAATGGGTCATTAATATTGTGGAAAGAGCCAACTATTATAGTTTGTCTTCTCTCAGTTGAGGCCTTTTAAAAGCTTAAAGCCTTGTACCCTTAGATACAAGCCAAATTATATCTTTTATCATTCCCTAAATAGAATAACTAGTAAATACTATACATTTAGCATCTGACATTCAGTGTGACAGAATACAGAAACTGGGTTAATTGAAACCGGATTACAAGGAAATTCATTGAACAACATACATTAAAGGACTAATATGTGCTAGGCACTGAGTTGTATTAACAGTAAAAAATGGGGGGTCTGACAGAGTTATGTTAAATATTACCTAGAAGGGGTAAACATAATTAATTCATGTAAATACTTGTCATAATCCAATCATTAGATCACAGATATATGGTCTGGACCAGACTGTTCCAGTAATCTTTTTCTGCTTTGAGCTAGTCACTAAGAATATGGTGGAATCTATAGTAGTGTGCAGCTAGACCACTTTGGGATTGGCCTGATGCACAGAACTCCACAATGCCATGTCCCTGGTAGATGTCCAGACTGAGCCTGGCTTCTGCCAAAATTTTGTGCTTGAGTCAGGATGTACCTGGACCAGGGACATCTGAGAATAGGTACTGATATTTTTCTTGTAGTTTCTTCCTAGACATAGCTGCATCACCTTTGTTCTATATGTTCAATAAATTACAGACAGAAGGCTTTTCATTCTTGTACCAGAATGAATTAAAGTTTAAAAGTTGATTAATTATAAGTGTAAAAAAATAGTTTGAAGGTCATTGGAGAATAACAACAGTTGAGGGGATGGAGAGGGGGAGAATCCCAAGGAAATAAGGTAGATAGAATTGAAAATAGAAATTAACCTTATAAATGATTAGTACAATTATATCTATAAATGTTTCTAGTTTTGGCATCACATTGTAAAGCATAGAGGAATTACAATTGTTTCCTGTAGAGATTTTACAAAAACTGTGCTTTTCTTTGTTTCCCCCTTTCCTGGTTTCTAGGTGCTACTTTTACTGACTGGTTTACATCTTATGTCAACAATGTTGTATCAGGTGGCTTCCCCATCATCAGAGACCAAATTTTCAGGTATTTTATTTGGGTCTTTTTGGATTGAAATGATGATTGTAAATCAGAAAAAAAAAATGATCAGTCACAAATCATGAAATGAAGTTTCCCAAGAAGGTTGATAATAGAACCTCTCTATTGAGGTTGATGATAGAAGATTGAATTTCTTCAATCTCACTATTTTATTCTCACTCTAAAGCCAAACATCTAAATACTTAGACAACTGGTATTTTTGTTATCTGGAAGAATCAAGAAAAAGCTGATTTTGATTTAGAAACAATGAGTTTATAGTATCTATATAATTTATTTTTGAAAAAAAACAAAAAGTTGTTTGCCAACTGATAGATTTGTTATGAACAGCAAGTCAGTAACTGTTAACTCCTGGCAAATATTTATTATCTCTAAATGGAATGTTCAGATATTGTAGCTAATATTAAAGGTAATATTGGTTCATAATAGCCTGGTTGGCAGAAATGATAGATTGATTATACATTAGAGGCTTCTGGGAACAACATATTTGCACATTTTTATTGTCAGAGCCATCATTCAGGAGGTATAGCTGGGTTTTCAGATGTCCCAAAAGTTTCCTTAGCTCTGGAAACTGAATAAGCTCATTTTCATTTCCAACCTAATTACTGATACATTATTTGAACCACTGATCATTAAACCTGATTGCTGTCATTACTTATCCAGAATCACCAATGTTTTGTAGTTTGTATCTAGTTTTCTTCTAAGTTTAATAGGACTATACCCAAATATAATTTAACTTTTCTGGGTCTGAAATATGATTTAAATTTTTCATCCTAAAGTATAAGCTATTTTGTATTGTATCTTTTAAATCTTGTAGTTGATTTTAAAATGTTTAATTTTAAAATTACCTAGATATGTTCATGATCCAGAGTGTATAGCAACAACTGGGGATATTACCGTTTCTGTTTCCACATCATTTCTGCCAGAACTGAGCTCTGTACATCCACCCCACTATTTCTTCACATACCGAATCAGGTGAGAATTTTCAGTAGGTCGCCTTTCAGTTAATAGTGAGATATAACCAATGTTTCTGTTGTCCCATTTGACATGGTATGTAAGACACATTTTGAAAGAACTTGCTGAAGTTTGGAGGAAAGTGGATACATTTTCTACAGTATAGTGTTCATGGAGGACTTTGACTACATATTAATCTCTAAGTTATTTAAGTTATTTCTTTATTTCCTTTTTTTTTTTTTTTTTTTTCTGAGATAAGAGTCTTGCTCTGTCACCCAGACTGGAATGCAGTGGCACAATCTTGCCTCGCTGCAACCTCCACCTCCTGGATTCAAGCTATTCTTCCACCTCAGCCTCCCAGGTAGCTGGGATTACAGGTGCACTCCACCACGCCCAGCTAATTTTTTTTTGTATTTTTGTAGAGATGGGGTTTCACCATGTTGGCCAGGCTGATCTTGAACTCCTTACCTTGTGATTCACCCACCTTGGCCTCCCAAAGTGCTGGGATTACAGGCATGAGTCACTGTGCCTGGCCTATTTTTCTTGAAAATATACTGGGTATTGGCTGGGCACTGTGGCACACAGCTTTAATCCCAGCACTTTGGGAGGCTGAGGTGGGCGGATCACCTGAGGTCAGGAGTTCGAGACCAGCCTGACCAATATGGAAAAACCCTGTCTCTACTAAAAATATGAAATTAGCTGGGTATGGTGGCAGGTACCTATAATCCCAGCTATTCGGGAGCCTGAGGCAGGAGAATCGCTTGAACTCGGGAGGCAGAGGTTGCAGTGAGCCAAGATCGCGACATTGCACTCCAGCCTGGGCAATAAGAGCAAAACTCCGTCAAAAAAAAAAAAAAAGAAAGAAAGAAAAAAAAATATACTGGGTATTAAGTATTGTGCCAGGTACTGTGGAAATGGACCAGTAAGTTGTAGTCATCATTAAAGCTCTAAGTTGTAATGCATTCTAGAAAATGTCAAATTGCCATGATAAAGTCATGCATTTTAAATTTCATCTGGCCTATTTATATTCAATTTAAAAATCTAATAAATGTGTATTGTGTGCTTCATGGATGTCAGACATGGCGTTAGACACTGGATTTTATTAAATAAGAAACAAATATTTTAAATTTATGTTAGTAGTATTCTGTGCTATGACACAAAGATAACTCATTGCCCTAAGGGATTAAGGATACTGTGTTTTAAAATATATTTTATGTTATACAAGTATATTTTAAAATACACATACAAGCATATATACATACTGGAAGTATTTTAGTAGGGAAATCAAACTAATGAAGCCAGTATCTTTGAGAACTTAGAAAAATAGCTGGCTACCATTGGGTTGGGTTTCTTAATTTTTTGGAAATTTTCTTTCATAGTATTAGCCTGAATACTGTATCTCTTAAACCAAAGAAATGAAACAAAAAAAGCCAGATTTTTGTCTTTACCACCCTATTCCCTTCTCTAGGATTGAAATGTCAAAGGATGCACTTCCTGAGAAGGCCTGTCAGTTGGACAGTCGCTATTGGAGAATAACAAATGCTAAGGGTGACGTGGAAGAAGTTCAAGGACCTGGAGTAGTTGGTATGAAACCCAAGATTTAGGTTTATACATTAAACCCTTAGAAGAAATTTTAGACTTTGCATCATAAATATAATGTATCAAGGTCATTATCCTATTAGTCTAATCCCTTAAGCATTAACTTTTCTAAAATAATAGCAAACTTAATTATTCAGGGATTGATTTCCCTTTCTGTGGATCACCTGGAGTTCTTTGCTTTTCCTTCTTTTATTCTTTTTTGTTAAAACTGGTTCATTATTCATTATATTTTGTGGGTTAGAAAGCATAGGGCAGAAAGAGGAAATAAATTTTGTATTGGTCATGTTTTTTGAAGTTTGGGGGGAAATGTTAAAATTAATGGCATAGATCTTTATTGTTTGTGGATCTCAGTCACTTTAGTTGTAGTTACCATTGTCATTTAGCTTTCTTAAAAATTATGATTATCTCAAATCTCTGAGCACCCAGATTCTTCAGGTTTGAATATGTACTCCAGAAAAATAACATATTTAAGATATGTACTTCTGTTATCAGTCCTAAGCATATGCAGAATTCAGCTTAAGGTTTTCTAAATTCATGGCCATGAATAGATCTACATGGTTACTTAACGAATTTTTTCCCTGGATCTAGTGCTAAGAGGCTTTATTAAAGCCACAATTCTTTTTCTGCTATTTGGTCAGTGGTGTAAGGACTCTGCCTTGTGAGTGTTATTTTGTCTGGTCTGAATGCTTAGGATGCATCTTCACAATTTTATGTTTTTGTTTCTTGCTACTTTAAAATATTTGGATTACCCTTATCTCTGTTTGAACTGGTGTCTGTGATGCTTTTTATTACTCATGTCTCAAAGGTTGTGTCTTCAATGCCTCAAAGCTTTTTGAAAAAGAAACATACCTGTTCTGTTTTTGTTTGTTTTACTAGATACTTCCCACCTTCTACATTGTAGAGAATTTGAGGAATACATTTAAAAAATGTTAAGAGGGCTGGGCATGGTGGGTGATAATCCCAGCACTTTGGGAGGCCAAGGTGGGCAGATCAACTGAGATCAGGAGTTCGAGACCAGCCTGGCCAACATGGTCAAACCGCGTCTCTACTAAAAATTCAAAAATTAGCTGGGCATAGTGGCAGGTGCCTTTAATCCCAGCTCCTCAAGAAGCTGAGGCAGGAGAATCGCTTGAACCTGGGAGATGGAGGTTGCAGTGAGCCAAGATCACACCATTGCACACCAGCCTGGGCAACAGAGTAAGATTATGTCTCAAAAAAACAAAAAAGTGTTAAGAGGAATAAAATACCTACTCATTGTCCTATCACTGTTAAATTTTGTTGCATTTTCTTTTGGAATTTTTTTTTCTAACTCTGCATTTACAATTTCATAGTTTACATAATGCCATAGAGAACATACCTTATGTATTATAATAAAGAAATGAATTTTATACTTTGGTTTCTTGTTACTCTTTTCCCTGTAGGTGAATTTCCAATCATCAGCCCAGGTCGGGTATATGAATATACAAGCTGTACCACATTCTCTACAACATCAGGATACATGGAAGGATATTATACCTTCCATTTTCTTTACTTTAAAGACAAGATCTTTAATGTTGCCATTCCCCGATTCCATATGGCATGCCCAACATTCAGGGTGTCTATAGCCCGATTGGTAAGTTAAATTTTCCTCTAGTGCTGATTTATATGACTTTGTAGAGTTAACACTACAGATAAGGCAGGCAAGTAGTTAGTTTATAAATAATGTCCCAGAGAACTCTAGAGATTTTGAGGAAGTATCTTGGGGTCATATGAATTGCTGAGAGAGATGGACAAGTAAGGTGCCATACTCTGTAACCAGAGAATTTCTGCTATCTGTTTTAAAGATTCAACTTCTTTTTCACTTTTCAGTGGCCTAAATGCTTTACATTATGAGAAATACCACATTAGACCAGTTAAAATCAGCTTTATTTTATTTCATTAAGACTGGGAAAACAACTTCCTACAGTGTTTTTGCTAAAACTTCCAATTTAATGTCAAATAAACAAATATTCTCTAACGGTCATTATAAAGAGAATTTAATGTGTAGATGTGTACTTCTGGCAGCCTCTCTGGGATCATTTCTTAAATCAACTAGGTATATTTTAAAAATCTCAGTTTTAGGGTTACCTTATGACAAGTGTAACAGTAACCCCAATCTTAGAGACTATAATGTGATTAAAGAAAATTATGAAGCTCCAGTTATACAATGGGGATAAAATATGAATTATATACCCAGAATACAATTGAGTTATAGGTGTTGAATGTTTGGAAAATGCCCGCTAGCTCCTCGAATGACCCCAGTGGATGGGTCTAAAATAAGTTTTGGAAGAGAGACATGATATTAATATGACCCAGAGCAGGCACATTTTCAACTCCAGTTGGGAAAGAGAAGGATGATAATGAGACTTTGGGCCATTACATGTATGACATATCTAGTGAAAAGAATCTACAGTGTACATTTGGAAGTGAAGATTTAGCTTTCTTCCAATGGAGGAATGCTAGAAACTGTATTTCCAGTACTGCGAATTTGTTACTTCGCATAACAGAATTCCTTTTTTGACCAGCCCAGTATCTGTATGAGTTTGGAATAATCTTATCCTTAAATGTTTGATAGGATTCATCAGTGAAGTTATCTGGGGCTAGAGTTCTCATTGTGGGAAAATTTTGAAATTTGAATTTAATTTCTTTAATATTCATATTTTCTATTTCTTCTTGTTTCAGTTTTGGTAATTTGTGCCTTTCAAGGAATTTGTCCATTTCATCTAAATGTTGAATTTATTGGCATAAAATTATTGACAGTATTCCCATGATATCCTTTTAATGGCTACAAAAGCCATAGTCACATGTCCTCTTTTGTTCTTAATATTGTTAATTTATATCTTCTCTTTTGTTCATTGCTTTAGCTAGGGGCTTATCATTTTTACTGATCGTTTGAAGGAGCAACTTTTGGTTTTACTGATTTTCTCTATTTGCTTATTTTCTATTGCATTGATTTTTGCAGTTATCTTTATTTCTTTCTACTTTGAATTTAATTTGCTTTTCTTCTAGCTTTTTAAAGGTAGAAGTTTATATTAGTAATTTTAGACCTTTTTTCTCTCTAAGCACTGTTTTAGCTGCATTTCATTTAGATGCATTTTGATGTGTTTTCATGAACATGTCGTTCAAAATAGTGTTAGATTTCCCTTGTAATTTAATTTACTCTATGACTTTTCTAGAAATGTATTAATTTTCAAACATTTGGAGAGTTTTCAGTTATCTTTTGGCTATTGATTTCTAATTTTATTGTGGTTAGAGAATTTGCTCTGTATTTTCAATCCTTTTAAATGTTTTATGGCCCTAAATTATGGTTTATCTTGGTAAATAATCCTTGTATATTTGAAAATAATGTACATTCTGCTATTTGGGGGAATATTATTCTACATATGATAGATCAAATTGGTTGACAGTGCTTTTCAAGTCTTCTGTATACTTGTGATTTTTTTTTTTTTTTTGGTCTTTGTCCTATCAACTAGTGAGAGATGATTGTTGAAATCTCCAAATGTAATTATAGTTTTTGTTTCTCTTTTTAGTTCTGCCAGGTGTGCTTCATGTATTTCGAAGCTGTATAATTACATGCAAATATGCTAAGGATTATTTTGTATTTTTAATGACCTGATTCTTTCATCATTATGAAATCTCCCTCTTTATCACTGATAATATTCTTTGTCCTAAAGTTTAAAGAGCATTGAGGTTTGTTTTGGCAGGTAGTTGAGTTACTGTTGGGTCAACTTGATCCTTTGGAGTCTTGTTTGTTTTTGATGTTGGTTAGGGTGGGTGTAAAGTAGTCTTTATTTAAGGACAGTAGTTGCCAACTTTCAGTCTCATGACCCCCTGAAACTCTAAAAACTTACTGAGGGCTCTGAAGAATTCTTGCTTATGTGGATTGTATTAATACTTACCATATCAGGAATTAAAACTGAGAAAGTTTTACAATATTTACTTATTAGTTCCTTTTCAAATGACAATAATAAATCCATTACATATTCAGCTCTCTCTTAACTATGTTCTTTCTTACTAGTTTTCATTTCCTTCTAACCACAAATAAACATATAAAATCTTGACCTGCCTTGTGGAAAATGTTTTCTCTCAAGGATGAGAAATAAAATGAGAATTCTGGACTTATTTCTTATCAATATTAGACAATGGTGGTTGTATTTGTTGACCTTTCCTGTTGAAATAATAGTTTTCTGATACGGAGACTTGTTCTGCTCCTTTTCCGTCCTCTACCAGTCTGATTAATTCGTAGGCTTAACAATTCCTTTTTCTTTCTCCTTGGAATGCCTCTTGGAAATATGCATTCATTGGCCTGTGTCTTTTCTCGGTCTAGGTGGTGTATGTGTGTGGCTCGTTTGGGGCACTTGTAGAGGCTCTGGCTTCACATTTCCACTCCTCTCTGTGTGTGATTCTCTTCATATGCTGTTCGTGTGTGTACACTTTGTACACTTTTTTCTGAGCAGTCTCTTTCTTTAGCCACATTGAGTTCTTTAACAGTTTTTCTGTTTTCTTCTTCATTAAGATAATTAATGATCATACTACTCAGATACCACATTTTAGAACTTCCCAAGCCTTTCCCTTTCCCACCTTTTGGACCTCCTAACTGAATTTCAAAGTCTTCATTCCTTAGATTAAAAAAAAAAAAAAATCCAAAGATAAAAAGAATGTAATGTCTTATAAGTCATATCAGTGTATATGTTCTCTGTTATTGTTGTTGTTAGTGTTATAATAAATCCTAAGTGACACAATTCCTTTCTCCTATATTAATTCATTTGCTTGCTCAACTGCTATTTATTGAGTACTGTGATAAACAATATAATCAATTCCCTGCCTTTGAATTTACATTCCAATTCAAAGAGACAAACTGTAACAATAAACCCTATGTACTAATGTTAAGTGGTAATAAGTGCTATGGAGAAACAGCAGAGTAAAGGGGATAAAGAATTTATTGTTAGGTTGTTCTAACATAAAGATGTGTCAGGAGAGGCCTTGGTGACATTTAAGCTGAAACGTGAAAGGAGCAGAGGGAATTAGGTGGATATGTGGGAGATGAGTGTTCGAAGCAAAGGAGCTGCATGTGTAGAGGCTCTGAAACAATAATGTGCTTGTGTGCTTGACCCAAGGAGGCCAGTGTAGCTAGAGTGCAGTGAACAGGAGGGGAGAGGCGGGTGATGAGATCAGAGGGATAATGGGGTGGTGGATCACGTAACGCCATAAAGGCCTTGGTGGAAGGACTCTGGCTGACATCATGCCAAAAGTTGCCCCATACTCTCCAGAATACCAAGTAGGTCCTGGCTATTCAGAATTCTGTTCAATGTAGCAGCTCCTCCCATTGTGTCTTCAAATGTGTGAGAGAGAAGAACATTGACAGCAGAGTAAGCGAAGGCTTGATTAAAGATACTGCATGGGCAGAATTGATATTTCCAAGAGAGATTCAGATGTTGCACATTCAACATCACTACTGTTCTATTCTGAGAGCCTCCAACAAGTTAATTTAGAAGTAGAAGCTGTCATTTCCCTCCAACGTGGGTTGATTTTAGTGATGTACTTATAATGAATTGGCAAAGTGACACTGTGATTTCCTAGTTAGAAAAAGGTAATATGCCTTCAGCCTAGAGTTCTTTCTCTCTCCTGGGACATATGTCTTTGATGCCCTGAGCCACCATGTAAGAAGTGCAGTTACCATGAAGCCGTCATGCAGAAGAGACCATGTAGAGACATCACATAGAGATAGAGGGAGGCACCCAGGAGCCCCAGCTGTTTCAAACTCCAGATATTTGGATCATGCCACACGGATACCAGATGTGTGAATGAAGAAGCTCGTGAGATGAGTGAAATTCCAGCTACCGTCTGACTGCAACATCACCAGAGACCCCAACCGGGAACCACCCCATTGAATACTTCCCAAATACCAACCCACATGAATCATGAGAGATAAAAATGACTGTTGTTTCAAGCCACTAAAAAAATAAAAATATTTTTTAAAAAAGTATAGGCTACTGATGGTTGAATTGAAATGATGTGTCTGTATAGTAGGAGCTCCATAAAAATCTCAGAACTCTTGTTGACAATGCATAAAAGTTACCAGTAGAGGTCATACTTGATTAATATTTTTATATCCTCTTTTCTGTAAGTATATAGATTAATAATTATTCAGTATATGAATATAAGTTCAGTAAAACTGTATCTTGGATTGTTACAGGTGGTCTGTTTGCTACCTTTATGAATTACCAACTACTGTATAAAAAATAAGTACTGCCTTAGTGAAATATTTACCATTAAAACCATACTGAGCGGGTCCAGGTGGCATGTACCTATAGTCCCAGCTACTCAGGAGGCTGAGGTGGGAGAATTGCATGAGCCCAGGAGTTTGAGCCTATCCTGGACAACATAGCAAGAACTCGTCTCTAAGAAAAGCTAAAAATAAATATTTTTTTAAAAAGATCTTCCATTAAACAATAACAACAAAAACCGCACTGAGCATTATGTAACACGAGATACAAAATCTAATCCAGAATCTTGCATCCGCTTGTGTGTTATGAGAGTACACTGTTCAAGTCTATGGAAATTCGTATTTGGCGTGTCTGGCTGTTTGAATTCTAGATAAATGAGAATTTACATGAAATAACTGTTTAAAACTGATAGATGCTCTTATCAAAAGACTGTTTTCTCTTTCAAGGAAATGGGTCCTGATGAGTATGAAGAGATGGAAGAAGAAGAGGAGGAGGAAGAAGAGGAAGACGAGGATGATGATTCAGCAGATATGGATGAATCAGATGAAGAAGATGAAGAGGAGAGACGAAGGAGAGTCTTTGATGTTCCCATTCGCCGACGCCGCTGCTCACGCCTTTTTTAGCAAGCCTTCTGCTGATGGAAGCACTAGGATCATTCTAGGCTGTTAAACAGATTTCTCAATAATGTAAATAACTAAAGTGTTCTCTGCATATAGCAGGAAACTAGCATGAAATATTGTTCCAGGCCCTGGGTTCTATGTGACATTACATTAGGAATTGGATTGTTTGGGTTTGCTTTGTGTTTTTGAGGTAGAGGAGGAAATGGGAATCTTTTTCTCTTCCAGGAGTCAATGGAAGAATAGTTCTCTAGCTAAGGAACAGACATACCTTTGTTTTAAAATATTTTATATCAATCTAGAAATAAGGATTTAAAATAACCTGCACAAGGATAGAGAGAAACTATGTGACTGATTCTGGCAAAAGACTTCTTGCAGTTGTGAGTTATTTAGAAATGATCAGAATTTGTAATTAGGCTAATCCATTTAGTGATTCCTAATATTTTGTACTCACAGAGAACTAATTGAGTAAACAACTTGAACGCTAGTGGTTTGTCCTTAGACAATCTGTCTTTGAATTTAAAGTCTTTATTGCTAAGACCTTGACTTGAAATTTTTCATCACTACAACCTTGAATTTAATTTCAAGTCTTCAACATGATGACCTTTAAAGTCTTCAATACTATGCGCTTTATCATATTATTCACAGATGCATTTTTGAAATGTAGTGTGTAAAAGTATGTAGTGTGCTGTTTATTAACAAAAGATTGTTCACAACATCTTATGTAGTTTAAATTTGTAAATACTGCTTCTGTTTCATTTCTTCTTTATACACTTGACTGTCTTTGTGATAAGTGACATGAATTTTATGTTAGGATTAAGTATGTTTTCCTGAAACTTGGATTTTTTTTGTAATTATACAATTGAGAGTTAAGAATGAAATCCTTCGAGTGTTAAAAACTCACATTTTAAAAGCAAATTTTGGTTCCAATCCTGTATTTTGTATAATTGCCTATTTTTCATAAACTAACATTAATCAGCCTTTGCTTTTAACATAGAAGATGGGATGGATTCTTGCTGACCTGCTGTGAGTATAGCAGGCCCATTCAAAGTCATCTCCTGGCTTTGACTGTACCCTCTTGTGTGCTCTATCGTCCATTTCCCCCCAAGAACTGTTCCTTTGTAGAGAAAACTATAAGAAAAGGAAGTGGCATTCAAGGCTAAGCAGCTGCCATTAGGGACCATGAAGACAAACTTACCCTTTCATATTCACACATGTCGAAATGTTCTGAAATAGACTAAGTCATTTTTCCTGCTTACTTTTCATTTAATGGAGTATAACCAGGCTATCAAATACTATTATGGCTATCCTTTAAAAGAAAAATCGATTGTCTTTGTTTAGTTTGTTATAGCAAAATACCTTAGACTGAGTAATTTGTAAACAGTAGAGATTTGTTGCTCACAGTTCTGGAGAGTGGGAAGTCCGAGATCAAGGCATCAGCAAATTTGGTGTCTGGTAAGTGCTCACTCTCTGCTTCAAAGATGGCGCCATCCTGCCATGTCTTTATGTGGTGGAAGGGGCAAACAAGCGTCCTCAGGCCTCTTTTATAAGGGCACTAATCCCTTTCATGAGGGCAGAGCCTAAACCCTACCTCTTAATACCATTGCTTTAGGGATTAGATTTCAACAATATGGGGGAACACAAACATTCAGACCACAGCGTCAACCCACGTAAATTTTTTTCAAAACTGAACTGTCCCAATAAAGCAGTAATCAAAAACTAATAAATCTTGGTGATTAAAGCTGGCCCCAGAATCCCGTGCCAGTTTTTCCATTTTTCTCTTTTCTGGATGACCTCTCTCTCCATTTCCAGAGTGCTCATGATGCCCCAAATCTCCCAACTCTTGCTCCTCAGAAGGCTTTGATTTGCTTATACTCTCATTAGAATGTATATTCTCTTAGTATGACCTCTAGTTCAAACTAAGGTGTAGTTTTTTTTTTTTTTTAAGACAGTCTTGCTGTACCTCCCAGACTGGAGTGCAGTGGCATGATCTCAGCTGACTCCAACCCCCACCTCCAGGGTTCAAACGATTCTCATGCCTCAGACTCCAGGGTAGCTGGAATCACAGGTGCATACCACCATGCCCAGCTAATTTTTTGCATTTTTAGTAGAGCTGGGGTTTTTTTATGTTGACCAGGCTGGTCTGGATCTCCTGTCCTCAAGTGATCTGCCTCTCTCAGCCTCCGAGAGTGCTGGAATTACAGGCGTGAGCCACCATGCCCAGCCTATGGTGTAGTTTGTTGATAACAGGCTTCTGTATTTACTGCCGTTGGCAAGAACGCTTATTCACACATAACAGGAATTTAACAGTTGGCATGAACATTGCCCAAACCAGACTCTACTAATGGTAGAGAAAAGGCCATTTCTGGCTCTTGAAAACACAACCGATTTTTTTACTCATTTCTCTGAAGCTTGGTGTATCACTAGAATCAGACAAATACCTAAATTAACAGTAGCTTAAATAGTTAGGGGGTGGTTATTCTTGCGAATAGTCAGAGATAGCTAGTTCAGAGCTGACATGATGGCACAGTGGTGTTATCAACAGTCCAGATTCGTTCCATCTTTCTGCCCTGCCATCCTTAGCACAAGACTTTTTGTCTTCATGGTTGCATACTGGCTGCTTCAGCCATACTGTGTTCACAAAAGGATGATGAGAACAAGGCAAAATGAAATGGAAAATAAAAAGTGAGACCTGAGGCTGGAGAGGTAAAACTAGCCAGGTCTCTAGCAGCCATGTGGAGGATAAGTAGGGAAGGGGCAGGGTATGCAGGAATTAACATGGGCAACATGGGGACCTGGTAGGAAGGAATTGTAATGGTTCAAGCAAGGCAAACTACAGATCTGAATTCGCACAGTAGCAATGCGAAGAGAGGATGAAACTGAGGTATCGAAATGGTA